AAAGGTGACACATTCCTTGCGCATTTAACGCACATTAGTGCATTGAATGCACATTTAGTGCGCATTACGCGCATTAAATGCGCAAGGAATGCGTAACCTTTTTTGCGCATTTTAATGCGCATTACCGCATTGAATGCGCATGAATGCGCATTGGCGCTTCTGGGGCAATGTGAGAATTTGGATTGGATCCGGTATTTCCACACTAGCTTGGCAAGGTTGCGGCCCAGTAGAAACAGACGGCGAAGACCAAGTTCGTAAATTCAGAAAAATGCATTCTTCTGTGAAGACTCAACCCAGATTATTGAAAGCAGGTGTGCATGCCATGTTGTTCAAATTGAAGATTGGGTATTAGTACCTCGTGAAGTTTTATGAAATATGTTTATTGCAGTCTAGTTTCACAATACACTTCGATTCGGAGGGTGAGATGTTCAAAACAAACAGTCTCCAATTTAAATATACTTCTATGACCTCTTGAATTAAGCATTTGTCTGGTCAACTTTTTTAGGTATTTAGCATGATGTTTTGCAGTATCATAACAAAAATATCTTAAAATATCAAGATTTACAACATGAGCTAATTACAGAAGCATTTAAATGTAAACACTGTTAATTACAACAAACATTGTGGCTGTTTGGGTTCCAGGAGCAAAATTAATAAGTTATGTAAAAATATATTACGAAAACATCACTCACTATAGTGGTAGTCCTAAGAAGGGAAAGAGGTCTCTCACATAAATAGAAGAAAATCTGGTAAATTTAAATCATTTCTAATTTACAAACATCACTTTTGGAGTAATATATACAAATTTCTACTATAAACTCTAACGTAAGAATTAACTGGTAAATATATAATAATTGATACATACATCTAACCAAATATTTTTCAATCTTTGTAAACTACCATCAAGGGCATTATATTTTGATGATTCTCATCATCATCCCGTTACGGTTTGGTACCGTATTTGGAATATACGCTGAGTTCCATAAGAATTCCGTAATTAGAAATTTAATAACACATGTTATTAAAAAATTGACAACTTTCTTAAAGAAATATGTTTTGCTCTAACCCTTACGGCATCAACTCCTCAACAAACTTACGGATTTTACAAGCCGTAACCATAGAAGTTTACCGTACCTTACCGGGAGTTGAACCTGGAACCCTTGGGTTGGAATACCCTCGCCTTTGACCACTCGGCCACGAGGATTACGTGAGAGTGGTGGAGCTGTAACGGTCTTATGCCACCACTGGCCGGAGGGAGTTTCCAAACTGTTTAATAAACATGTAATGAAAATTTAATAATATTGTCATGAAAATGTCATAACATGCACTGAAAAGGGGCGTGTAATGAAATTTCAATAGCGTGTAATGAAATTGCCATTAAATTTAATAACACTGTTCTTAAATTAAGAGTGTCATTAAATTTCATG